GCGTGTGTGCGCACGTATGTCTCCGAGTGGAAGTCGGTCAAGTGGTGGTGGGGGGGGAGGAATAATGCCCCACCGTCACAACTTTTATTCACCTGACGTTTTGAAGGTCGGCACAGATTCTTAATCACATATATTAGCATAAAGAGTAACAGACACAGGTAATTCCTGCAAAGGAACTCGCAGTAGTTGTAGGACACGCTCACCATGATACGGCACACTTATGACAAAGGCGGACGGACAAGCGTTCTCTAGGAGCAGTTGCTTATTTATCCGACGTTTCGAACTCTCACGCGAGCTCATTATGATAATTAAGGACTCCTCTAACGAAGATTATTGCCCACTTGGGCGCTAATTGCTTGATGGCCCACATGCGGGCCGTGACCTGCTAAACTTTCATCCAATATTAGGGAGTCGTGGAGTCGCACACAGGCCGGAGGCAACCATAAGGCGTCAGATAATGAAATCAAAAGACCCACCGCAACAACAAGAATCATTTGGAGTCTTCTATAGGATCTGTTTCAGTTGCGGAAAAAGCAGCTACGTCAGTGAACCTGGAAATCTTTTTAAGATGCGAATTTCCGGATAAGCGACAGCATTTCGGAGAAACGACCCCAATTCTCAGGTTGTGGCTTACTCGATGAGACTCGGCCCCACATTCAAATTCACATTCACAGGCACTTACCCGTAGCTAGTTCGCCCTCCTTTGGATGCCTAGATAGATAAGTGCGTTCAGCTTTACCAAATATTGTTTAAGTTCTGAAAAGATGCCCATGTAGACATTATTGCCGGTGAAGCGAAGGGAGACTGAAAGGGCCATTTCTGGCTCATTAGTCGTCATCAGCCAGTCATACCAAACCCCGAGTGATGTACCACCCGAGGCTCGAACTCGAGATTGAGCCCTAAGGCAGAGCAGGACAAGTGGGTTCCGTTGGCGATGAGTGAATGTTCACCAACGAGTGTCAATATTCCCATGTGTACATTTAAATGTGTAATTGGCAAAGGTGTTTTCGGCAGTTCATCATCGGGCCTGTACAGTTGCACTGGTGATCAGAAGGGAAAGTTAGATAGAGCTTATAAATGTCCTATAAGTAAAACTAATTGTCATACGGGAAGTGTAAGAACGATACATGTTAATTGTAGGATATTATTAAATCCTATCTGACTCTCATATTCTTTCTATCTAGCCAATCGCACAGGCCCGATAATGATATGCCGAAAACATGTTTTCCAGATAGAATTATGGAATATTGTCTAGCTTATCTCGCGTATTTGCGCATTCATAATGATTTCGTACCAAATGGCACTTAAACCAATATACTCATAAAAATTTCCTGCTTTTCAAGTCAGACTCACCTCTGGACACGTTTAAAATTAATTTAGACCTAATAGCCACCACATCCCCGGAAATGAACTGCTGGTTACCGAAAGGACATTGCGGAATAATCATATGATAAAAACATACCACTCGCTACTTTTTAGCAATATTTTTATTTAGAAAACTACCGACTACCTCTGTTTCGTCACTTAGTCGGCAGACTCGGTTACCAGCAAGGGTGTACGATGGGTGCATCTCCGACACTCGGTGACGTTCTCGTGACCTCCACCAGCTTCTCCTGACATGCTTCAAACTCTCTCAGCGCAGGCCATCCGATTCGACTATACTCCCCCCCCATCCACGGCGACAGTTTTTCTCCTTAAATCCCTCAAATGGCATTCAAACCCCTAGACTTTCTGAGCAATGCCTAAGGCGTTTTTTCACTTTCGGCCCCCCTTTACCCAGTTTCAATAACTGGCAACGGTACTGTTTTGAAATGTTCTGCTGAACAACTGCATTGTATAATTTTTCTGTACCAATAGAGAGTTCAAAGGTATTTACCTACATTTCCCTCAATAAAACCTGACCTGACTTTCAACCTTGTGGTGTAGTCAAGGCTTACGAGTCCATGACTTCAGTTTTCAGTTAACCCCTTCAAGTACCTCTCTGAGCCTCTCTGATATCGATATTCATAAAAAATGTCTACGGCGCAACGTACCGAAGGCGAAGACTTTGTTTGCCGTGGCAACAAGAGAAAAGCAGTAACGACACTGGCGCATGGAGGTCAACCTTGTCCATTGACCAATGCTGGTAAGACTGTTGGGAGGCGTGAACATGTGTACCGTCCTCTGCATAAAATTGCTAACACCACCAGCAACAAGTATCTTTCCATCAATGGCCACGGCCGCTTGTTCATAACGTGGACAGGGCATTGTTGCTGCCACCTTCCAAAAATCGGCAGTTTCGTCAACTTCGAAGGCGTCCTCAGTTGGCCGGCAGAACTCCACCGAATCCAGCATTTCGAATCCACTAACGCCACCGATCACGAAGACGCGACCATCAGGAAGGGACACTACACTCGCAGATGCTCGGGGTTCCTGCATGCTTGGTAGTCGTAGCCATCTGTAACCGAGATGGTGGACAAATTGTTTATGCATCAGGCTTCGGTTTGCAGACACTACTACTACTACTGTAAGCAGTAATAGAGGCAGGTAGAAGAATGCTGATATCTATGAGTGTGAGTATTTTAAAGAAAATTCTATGGCATTTAAAACAGGAGTGTTCCTTAAACTTGAAAAAAAAAAACTAC